GTGGTCACTGTTGCCCAAGGCAGCAACTCGGTGTTCTGTGTGGAAAAAAAAAATCCGCATTCTGATGGATTTCACCTTTTATCTGTAACTTGGGATCCGGTTAGAGTATTGTAGTGATCTAAATACTACCTCTACGTAGACGCTGCAGCACCAATGGCCGTCTTCCATCGCTCAGTTTAAGAGGAAGAGCGAGAGGATAGGACTTGTCGAACGCCAGGACCAATTATAAATCTCATTTAGTGATAACTGACGAAGGAAGTGTACAATAAAGTAGCAGTGTGATAAAGTGCAGCAAATCCAGAAGCAAACTAAAAGACACTGGAGCATCAGGCTTCGAAATCATTTTTGCATGAGATATTCTCACTGTCTGTTGGTTTTTTGGCTAAACGCAATCCCGATCAGGGCTAACAAACTTGAACCGGATTCTCAAGTTAATTGCGCAAGAGTGTCAATGAGCAGGGTAAGCTGATGACCCCCTGATCGGAGCTCTACAGATAATAAACTCGGTTCCTCCACACGGTCATATATCCACTGTGATAAGTTCCTCCAGCATACAATCTAGCTCACTGCTGAACCTACGTGAAGACAATGCTAAGCTGGAGAAATTAAAATATATCATTCAGCTGTTAAAATAAGCAATTCTCAAATCTCACCTTTAATAGCCACAAAGCGCGCACAGTTTCGGTTTCCCAATATTTCCAGTTGCTCCGAAGTGCTTGTCTCGACCTCGTATCGGATCAACACTGATTGATTATCGGTCGTCGATGTACCGACGAGACAGATTTTTCCCAATGGACCTCTGTAACTCTCAGTATATGGACACTGTCTACCAACTCTCGCAGATGGGCATTCGAACCAGCCAGAGATACAACCTAGGAGTTGTCTGACATATCACGGAGTCAGGCGTCGTTCGGCAACTTACAAACATTCAACATTTGTACTCCAAAAGCCTTTCTTCTCTAGTAGGTCGTATCTGAATTCGGGGTTTACTCGATTCCACCTGACTTCTCTCATCAGTTCTGCTGCGTGGACCACTCGAACATCATCCACCTCGCCGCCTGGACTTACCCAGAGTTTAATCGCCTCGAACACATTCTCTTCCCTCTCAACCCGAAGGTCATCTGCACGCAGCAGGGAGAGGACAGCGTCCACCGGCAGTTGAGTGAAGAAATCACTCACAATCGTAGGTTCAAAGTTCGTCTTTATGTATTGCAGACAGGCATCCGTTAAGTGATCGCCATCCACTAGTCGTGCAAAATTCCAGGTATCTGCTAAATTTTCAGAATTTAGCCTGGCAGTGCCTGACAGAACGCTTAAACACCTACCTGGCAGCCATGAAACTCTGTA